TGTCGCCTGCGGCGTTCTGCGTGAATTAGCCCGACCCATTGTGACTAAAGCAGAGCTATGCCTGGAAAGTAGGCCCTCAGTATTCTAGTCGATCGTTATCCCCATACTTACCTACGGTCATGAATCGTGGACCATCACTGAAAAACTTTGAACCCGGGTACAAGCTGCTGAAATGGGTTTTCTTAGACGAGTCGCTGGCCTTACGCGTCTCGCAATGGTCCGGAACAGTGACATCCGGAAGAGCGTTGGATTTCAGTCTTTGGTTCTCCAGATTGAGAAATCACAGCTGCGATGGTTTGGGCATGTGTTGAGAATGCCTCCAGAAAGAAGTCTAAGTAACTGCTCCTGGCAAATCCGACCGGTATAAGGCGCAGGGGACGGCAAGGTTAATCTGGTGCAAACATATGGAAGGAGTCTGTTCCAGACTGCATTTGTCTTTTGCTGAAGCTCAGACTCTGGCACAGGATCGGGAACGTTGGAAGCGCTGTCTGACGCGTCTGCCCCCGCGACCCGAAAGGTGAAGCGGCTATGGAAGATGAAGATGATGAATTCCACGTATTGAGCAGGATGTGAGACCTTCCTCCATTTTATTGTTTTCGCTTGGTTTTGCTGTTAAGCATTTCATTATTTACTCTCTAATACCTTTTGCATCTTCAGTATTAGGTAAGATTATTTTGAAACCTTTATCTGGCAAAAGACAATTTTTTGTCTACTCTAAGTGTCCATACATTACTGATAGAGTAATTTAGCTTAAAATTCAATTTCACTCAGTTGATGTACCTGTAAATCTTTTTCTCGTCTAATACTCGTATGGTACTTTTCGTCGTATTGCAATGTAAGATTATATGTGATTGTAATGAGTTCTATGGAGGTAAGAAATGAGTATTATGGAAATCTGTGAGTTTTATTCTTCAAATTTAAATTCATGTTTCAGGATTCTGTGCGTGCCTGTTGGGAACATTACGCTTACGATGACGCTATCTTCATTTCCGAAGTTTACTTCGCTGAAAGTTTGTTTTGCTTTTTCTGTGTCTCTGTACAGTTTACATTGTATTTAGCTTCCAGTGAACACGCACTCTTTTTGCTCGCTAGTTCTTACTACCGTAGTGGACAGGTAAAGTCGGCGTACTACCTTCTTCGGTCACGAGAAAAATTCGAATTGGCAGGGAACAGGTTCCTTTTTGCGAAGTGTTGCGAAGCTTTACAAAAGTGAGACATTTTTTCTGTTTCTACATCGTGTAGTATTTCTGCCAAATTGTGTTTGTGCAGCGCGGCTTATTGTTATTCGAAAACTTAGAAAGCTGTTCTCTACATACTCGATTTGCGTGTTGCGCGGTACGTTGGTCCAGGCTTCTTTGCTGTAGTTTAGCAGGTCTTGGGCTTCTGCTGTGCGTTTGATAAGTACTTGTGTTTCCTCTCTTGGCATTTATTATAATTCATTTTATGCTTGAAGTTTACCGGTACAGTTTTTCCAAGCAGTTAGAAATTCTCGCGGACTCTTGCGGATTACGTATTAATTCAACTGTTACTGACACTGAATGTACAAATGTTCATTACAGTCGTGCAGTTGAATAATGTTCACTGCTCAGTCAGTGATTTTCAGTTTGTTCCGGAAATCTAAAACTTAAGCACTATCTTAAGACCATTTCAATAAACTGTTCATTCCTCTTGGGGTGAACAAGATTAGACACCGTATTGAGAAGATCATGGTTGAAGGTTCAGGACAGGCAGAGGTTATTTACCCAGATTCTTACAATGAGCCAGCTAATGGGAATCGAAATTCATTGCAATCTCCGTTGATTTCGTTAAAGTCTGGAACTGAATCTCGAGATATGCCTTTTGGAAAGTTGGTAAACAATATGGAATCTCTCTCAAATCTTATTGGCATCATTAAAACAAGTATGATCATTCGTCAAGTTGAGTGTGAACTGATAGCAGGTTCGGCAAATTCTTTCGTGAAAGGCTTGGCTAAAGGCAATGAGGAGTGGAATCTCCACTGTTGTTTGTGATTTTTTGACTGGGTGCTCCAGCAATTACGAAAGAGCGAAGCTTCGGCAGCAGGAGTGGGCAAAATTTGCTTGAATTCTTTCATTTTCGGATGATGTCGTATTGCTGTCAGACAGCTTACATTGAGGCTGTGGTACAGTAGTTTCTTTACTCTGAAACAGGTTTTGTGATCTGATCACTGGATAAACTTAAAGAAACTGAAGTAGATGGAAATTGCTAGATCCCATATCAAGGACTGTCTCACTGTTGAAACCTACGTTTTGGAAAAGGTTCTGTCTACGCGAATACATCTGTATATTGGGTGCACATTAGCTGCAGAGGGGCGAGTGACAAACAATATTAAGAGGTGCTATCGTCGGCGGAACGTTGTTTTCCCACTTCAGATCCATCCGCTGACGTTGACTGCTTCAGAACCACAAAATGGTTGTCAGGAAGTGGCTAAGCGCCCTTCACAATACCTGGACACGATGCGGAACTGACATTGGATAGGATTGCTTCATGGTTTTCGCTTCGTTTCCAGTTAGCTGTTTCCCGGTGAACAGCAAGAAAAGTGGTAAGCGCATATTCAATGCCAACAAGTTAAAAGGTCGGGAAATATTTTCGGCGTTCCAAAACGACATCAACAGCAGATTCACTGCTGTCAAGGACATGATCTGTCAGGATCCCGGGTTGCTGTACCTACAGCTCAGACAGGATATCGTCTGTGTCGCAGCAAATATCCTGGGTCTAAGCAGAAAAACGAAACACCCTTGGGTCTCAGCAGAAACCCTCACTCTTCGTCAAAGAAGAAACGCGGCGAAGCAGGAGTTCATGCAAAGCCCTGTAAATCGAAGAAGCAAGAGTATCGGCACCTTGTGAAAGCAGTCATCAGGAATTACTGCTGTGACAAGCGACACTGGATGGAACTCTAAGTGCAGAACCTGCAACAGGCGGCTTTGAAGAGGAACTTGAAGATGCTGTACAGACAAGCAGCGTCACCACCAATGCCGGCACGCATAAGCCCCGAATTTGCCTGATTCGCAGCAGTTCCGACTAACCCCTTCCAGATTCAGGCAACAGTCAGAGGATATAAGCTGAACACTTCGTAGAGCTTATGTATAAACAGGCCCGCTCCGGTGCATGGCTTGAAATGAGATTTCGGAGACCGGGAAAAACTTGAAATTGACTCCTCCGTTCCAGCGAAACATGGAATCTGATATATCATACGTCACTGTCGAAGTTCCAAATCCTGCTGGCACGACAAGGTTATTGCGGGAATTCTGAAGTGCCGAGACGAAACCTTGGCGTGGCGGAAGTCAGAAACCCCTAAGAACTGTCAGCAGGGCGTGATCATTCCCATATTCCAACGTGCCATTCTGAACCAGCTACCGCTTGATCACGCTTTTGCTTGGGCTGGGAAAGGTATTCGCGCGAATACTAACGAACGCAGTTGATGATGCATTTCCATCGAATTAAACAGTATTTCGAACTGGACTCTTGTGTACTATCGCTGTACTAAAAAAGATAATCGAACAGGGAAGGAGCTTTTAATTACCCTGACATATAGCATTACTCGACTTCGTAGCACCTTTCGACGCTCTACACCGTCGGTGCTTCTGGCGTATACTGGAACACTATGGGGTACCGGACAAGATCATCAGTCTGCTAGAAGAACTGCACGAAGGTACTAAAGACGCTATCAGAGCAGAAAAGTTGTTGTCGAACTGGTGTAACATCAGCAGTGGAGTGCGCCGCGGAACAGTGCCTTCACCTCTATTATGCAACATAGTGGTGGATTATGTGCTGCAGAGGATCGTCGTCCCCAACAACTGCGATAGATTTACTGTCAGAGAACGACTCAGCCGATGGTACTCAACAGTACTGATAACAGATCTCGAGTACGCTGACGAAATTATTCTTTTGAGCGACTCC